ATTGCTAAGAAGAAAGCTTACAAAACTGATGGAAGAAATTGAAGAGGACACGAACAAATGGAAAAAAGTCCTATGTTCCTGGATTGGAAGAGTTACATCATTAAATGACAGTACTGCCCAAAGCAATGTACAGATTCAGTTGTAATCCCTATCACAAAAATAGATAACGTAATTCCAAAGTTTGTATGGAACCAAAAAGTCAGAATAGCCAAAGCAAATGAACAAAAAAGAGAAAGCTTGAGGCATCACACTACCTGATCTCAAAATATAATACAAGACTATAGAAACCAATGCAGCATGGTATTGGTATAAAAATAGATACATAGACCAATGGAGCAGAATGAAGAACTGAGAAATAAATTTAAAGCAAATTTAATTTTAAAGCAAAGATACCAAGAACATACACTGGGGAAAGGACAATGTATAGTGCTGAATAATTGGACATCTACCTGCAGGAAAATTAAAGTGGACCCCTGTCTCTCACCAGATACAAAAATCAAATCAAGTTGAATTAAAATGTAAACATAAAATTCCAAACTATAGAACCCTGGAAGAAAACATAGGGAAAATACTCTAGCAGATTGATCTGCACAACAACTTTATGGCTAAGACTTTAAAAGCACAGACAACTAAAACAAAAATAGACAAATGGGACTATATTAACCTAAAAAGTTTCTATACAGCAAAGGAAAAAAATCAACAGAGTGAAGAGACAACTTGTTGAATGGGAGAAAATACTTGAAAGCTATCCATCTAACAAGGAACTAACATCTAGAGTGCACAAGGACTTAGCTATTGCTCTTCTCCTCGAGCGACAAAGGACAAAGATAAAGAAAATGTGTTATAGATATAAAATAGAGTATGTTCAGCTATAACAAAAGAATGAAGTCATGCCATTTGCAGCAACTTGGTACATATAACTAGAGGTCATCACATTGTGTGAAATGAGCCAGACAGAGAAATACAATGATGGCATGTTTTTACTCACGTGTAAGAGCCAAAAAAGTTGAACTCATAAAAGGTAGTAGAATGATAGAGGAAAATGATAGGTGCTAGAAGCTAGGGATGGGGGATAAAGAGAGAGAGATTAATGGGTACAAACGTAGAGTTAGATAATTTCTATCATTCAACAGCAAGGTAGAGTAACTATAGTTAACAAATGTATATTCAAAATAGCTAGAAGAGAGGACTTGCATTGTTCCCCTCAAAAATAGTGGATACCCTCAACACCCCAACTTGGTCATCACACATCCTATGCATGTGTAATAAACAACCACCCATAACCCATAAATATGTAAAATATTATGTATCAATAAGAAAATAAAAACTGGGTGGCGCCTGTGGCTCAGTGGGTAGAGCCTCCAAGAAACTCCACTGGATCTCCTGAGAAAATGAGAGTGATAAGGGCCAGTGACATCTTGCATTACTATGAGGATAGTTTTGATGTTGAAGACCCTGGATCTCAGTTCCTGGGTCACACTTGGAGAAACATTGCTGCATATTAGTTGATACACAAGTCCTGTTGATTTTGCCACGAAATAGCAATTTAGTTAACCACATGAACTTCAAACTCTCACAACCTGGGCTAAGATCCTAGGCAGAATTAGTCTCATGCCGTTTAACTCCGCCTTGATTTAAAAGAACTCATACTGAGGATTCATTTATAATCTACTACATAGCATATAAGCCACAGAAGGGTCCTAAAGAGGATGAGAATTGAGGCAGCTCCTGTGCCTTTCATTGTTAATCAAGACTTATTTTCTTTTCCCTGAGGGAAAATTCTGTATGTGTCAGATCCTTGTCTTTTGTTATTAGAGATTCTGTTAATAACAAACTGAATTACAGTCTTAAGTTTTAGTTAATAAAATTCTGATAATAACAAATCATAGACTTAAGTTTTAGTTAACCTTTGCCATGATTTGTGCTATCACAAGTGGGTGAATAGCAAATGTGAGCTTTGTCTTGTGGAAAGGTGTAAAGCAGGGGTGTCCAACCTGCGACCTATGACCCACATGCTGATTTTGTGAGTACTTTTTTTTTTACTTTTCTGTGGTGTTGAATATCACAAAAAATATACACAGACCTTTTTTTGGCTAATCGGCTTTCGTTAGTGTTTGTATATTTAATGTGTGACCTAAGACCGCTCTTATTCTTCTAATGTATAGCAAAGATAAGGGAAAAAAAAAAAAAAAGACTGGATACCCTTGAAAGCAATTGTGCAAAGATTAGTAAGAAGAGAATTCTTCCAGATTAATTCACATTGGCTAATAATTAAATTCTACCCAGCTCTTAAGAAAGCGTAGGTTAAACTTTAGTCTCCACTATTTTTCCTTGCCTTGAAATTTTCCATCTTTCTGGCCTCCACTCTCTCCAATCAAAAGAGATACTTGCCTGTATCATAGGGAGTCTAAACTTTTCAATTGCAGGTAGAACTTTATATTTGAATTGAAAAGTGTTTTTCTGCAATATTTATAGCAACTTTTAGACAGATCATTGATGGCAATGTCAAACTTCCTTAGATATTTGGGGAAAATAAATATATGTAGTAAAATCCAAAATTATCATCAGTCTGATCATTTTGTAATAGCAGTGATATCAGAATTTCCATTAGAAGCAACTATTTTCATTTTAAAATTTGTATTTATTTTTGAACAAGGCTTAGCTCACTT